ATCTGCATCCCACTATCTGAAATAACCAGGTATCTGTCCTCATCTAGCCAGGAAGCTCAGAAATCTGATGTCTGCTGGTGGTGCTGGGTTTGACAGGGCTATGATGGATTCACAGCACCGTGCAATGCTTTGTCTACGCGTCTCAAGACAAAAACCCAGAATGCCCTTTACCAACCTCAACTTGAAATTCCAGTCCACTCTTCCTCAAATTATGTATTTGACTATGTTCATTCTCCATTTCCTGGGCTTCCTGCCAGGCTGACTGTTAGCTCCTCCGTGCTGAGGGCCCCAGACCCAGGAGAATGTTCAGGAGTCTATCTGGGAATCTCCATGATAACTCTTCATTCTGGGGCCAAGACCCCTTGATTCCAGTACTGTGCTAAAGTCTTGTATGTACTTTCTTTTGTCCTTTCTCCCCTAGCTTTCAGTCTGACAATACCTAGTTAGGATGGGAGAGGTCAACTAGTTCATTTGTTATATGCCTTTGAAAACCTCTTATGAGCTATTCGTAAAGGATTTGGAAAAATGTTATCCTTTAGAAAAAAAGAACTTCCTCTGAACCCTACAGAGTTAAGACTCTATCATTAAAAACAAAAAATGAAGCTTGAGAGATTGTTTGAGGTGCTTTATTTAGGCAGGCCTGCCTGTGAGGACTTAATCAGTTTCTCCAGATATGTGGGGCACTAAATGGATTAAGGCTCTTTCACAGCTACTTAGTGGGAACAAGGAATACAGGAGGTGCCGGCACTGAAAAAGAATGCGGTCAGCGGGACCTGAAGGAGAAAGGGCTGTTTGTGTTCTTTGGAGGCCTCAGTCTTTCTCTTTTATTACTCCCAATGCTTTTCTGCCCAGAGCTCAAAATTCAGGAACTTTGTGCAACTGGGAAATCTGAGCTTTTCAGCTGGGTGTCCTGATCTTTCCCAGAAAGCTTGTTTAGATGTGGTCCATTTCTGGACACATGGAAGACCTTGACCAGGCCTTCCTTCCATGTAAAGATTAATAAAGACGGTGCTTCTCAGGATAGTTTTTAAAGTTCCCTATCAGTAAGAAGAGTGTTCTAAACTCAGCAGATGTTCAAACATCTCGAGGTGGGGGAAAATGCAAAAAAAAAAAAAAAAGTCAACAGCTACCCACTGTGCTCAGTGGTTAGCACATCAGCCTATATACCAGGGGCAGCAAGTTCCAACCTTGCCTGGGCTTGATTAACAAGAAAGTTGTTAAGATATTTAGTTGATGATTGTTGTTTCTAAATTTTGAAGAATGTGTGTGTGTATACACATATATGTTATATGGGTATATGTATTCCAACACATGTGCATATATAGGCCAATGAATAATCAATAGTGAGAGATTAGCAACTTCATCAAAGTTTTGTTTATCTTTCCCTCAAGTTCAAGTGTAGCTGCTGGGTATACTGGGACTCTGATATGACATCTGAAATGGACATTCAAACATACTTTTGAAGAATCAATCACATATATTCTTTTGATCCTTAAATAACCTAATTTAGGCAAAACAATTAAAACAAAGCATTCCTGGGGAAAGATTTGCAAAGTATGAAGGGTAAATTTAAATTTGCCAATGGAGGACTCTTTTGGTAGATAATATTTCCAAAACTTTGGGATATACTTTTTGAATAAATAAGTAGTAATCATAGAACAGAATTTATGCTTTTTGTCTGATACAGGATGGCCTGAGTCCTTCCAGCCACCACCCCATAGACCACTAGGTTGGTGACAGGACTGGGTGGGATGATCTACATTTGTTCCACCTGCAGTACAACTTTTATACTCTACTCTTTTTGAACAAATGCCCATGTCATCCTGTGTGCTGTTCTTCTTTCTCCAAGAAGTACAGTTTTGAAGACCCCTCATTGAGTTACTATCTGTGGTTTTATTATACTTTAAACAAGTATTGTGAATTATACTGGAGAAGTAGTAAGTGGTTATCTAATTCATAGACTTCCTGTTTGGTGTTCCCACTGTAGGCAATGAATAATGTATGATCTTTACCTATGACATTGATTCTAGTATTTATCCTCATTTATAATTTTAAAAATATACTATCTTTGAATCACATTCATTAGGGCATACTCTTTGAGGTGGTTTTTCTGTAATAATGATGAATTCATGCTGATCCAAGCACTCCTTTGGAGTCCTTTTGTGTGCCCCAGAACTTTCATTTGTAAGACAAATGGCTGGTTCAGACCAGCCTGTGCTGCAGTGAGAGGAGTAAACTGGGCCATCTGAGTACTACGAATTTTCAGACTTACCCTGAGTTACCCACTTACTGTTTTTTTGCTTTTTGATTGGTGGAACATTAGAAAGAAAAAGTATAAAACTTAATAAGAATACTATAAAAGTAAATCACATTTAGTTTTTCTTTTAATCAATTACCCTATTGAAAAGAAGACAATTTTAAGAAATTGAAAATGGCCCAGGACATTTCAAACATATCTCTTTGAATTCTCACTACTACTTTCTGAACCCCCAATCCATATTTCAGCTATGTTTGGATGGCCTTCAGGCATCTCAAACTCAGGATGTCCAAAATCAAATTCCTTGTCTTCTTTCTCAGATGTCTTTGGTGTGCTTCCAAAGCTCCTGTCACCTTGGTCTTCCTGCTCTCCCCCTACAGGTCAGCCACCTCATCCTATCCACTCTTGGTCAAATGACTGCTTGTTCTGCACTCTTTTACAGAGCGTCTGTCTAAATTCAAGCCTTTATGATTTCTCCCAAGCCAACCCTGCTTTGCTGTACCTATGATGTAGAGTTGACAATCTGAATTGGAGCACATGATCCTTCTTGATTAATTCTCACCCATCCTTACCTCATCCTTACCCCATCCCCACCTCATCCCCCCCTGCTACTTTTGCACAAAGTCCTCTCACATCTCCATGCCAGCCTTTGAATGCACCACCCTTGCCCTCTCTGCTAAACAAGTGTTGATTCATTATTGAGACCTGACAGAAATGTTGCCTTATTTGTTGGGTATTTCCTGATTCCACTCACCTACTTAATTTTCTGTGTCCACTAAGCTGGCATCCATACCTCTCTTGCACAGGGTAATTAACTGCTTGCCTTTCTCTCTCTTTAGAGATTGTGATCTCATCAAGGGCAGGACCATCTCTCAATCATATATTTATAGCAATCTTTCAAGTGCCTGGTACCTGGTAGGATCCCGGATGTTTGATGAATGAGTGAATGTATTGAACTTACACCCTGGGATATGGTAATAGCATGTTCTAAGTGACTGAGGCACTTAGCTTCAGACAGGGGATATCTGCAGTAGTACATGGCTTGAGTAGATATCAGGGGATCTGTTTTTGTCCTAAACCAGTGTAATATTAGGCTGTTGTGTCTCTGTCTAAGCATTTCCCCTTTGTGCTCCTCCATGTGCATCCCCCATTCATAAACATGCATAATTTGTTCATTAGCGTACCTTTATTATTAAGAGCCTACCCTTTTTCACGGCAGAATGTTTACTATTACTGCCCAAATATTCAGTTTCAACCTTTATTGTCCTTTCTTATAAAGCCTGGTGTTAGGACAAGGTTAGCTAAATAAAAAGATTTGGAGTTGGGTTCTCCCGAGTTAGCAAATCAGTAAATATGAAAGCCCCTTGTGAAAATTACCCATAGATTGAAAGGTATTTGCTCATTAGCATATCATATATTCATGATGTAAGTGAATGGAATTCAGCTCCATCTCATATGCTTGTTTATTTTGTGTGATAATTTGTAAAATGTGGCACCGTATGTTGCTCTTCTGTAGAGATTATTCTATTACTCTTTGGCATTCTTTGGACACCAAAAGATTTGGATGAGCTTTTATGTCCTTTTTTTATAATAGAGCCTTGGGAATCACTTGTAAGAGATTTCTTATGATAGGGTATTTACATCCTTGAGGGAATAATTTTAACTGTCTTCCTAACTAAATATTTAGAAGTTTAAGTTTAATCATATGATTAATTCAGGGCTTTAATTTCCTTAATCCCATGCTTACTAGCTGTTTAAGCAAGACTGAGTTTAGAGTTGGTCAGCCCCACTCCAAACACCCCCCACACACACACACTACTAAGAGCCCATCTCTTTCTCTACATAGTTTTTATTCAAAGCCCCTCAACATTTATCATTCTAATAATACCCATCGTCCCTGGAAGTAACAGAAGTGCTAAACAATGTCAAGGTGATAGAGTTAGAGCTTGAACTAGTTTGGGAGCCAGAGGGAGGGGAGCCTTATGAAAGTGACAATGGTGTGTGGTCATGAGGAGCTACAGAGTCGCCATGTGTGTTGAAGTAAGGCCTGCATGCCAGCGCTGCCGGTGGGGCGAGCCTTGGTCTGTTGAAGTGGAGGTGGTGACTCCTGGTCCCTGCCTGGGTCTGGGGGACTGTCTGCAGTTGGTGCACTGGGGGAGAGAAAGGATGGAAACTGTCCCCTAAGATTGACGGGGACACAATGGATAGTGCCACTATCCATTGCCTCAACTTGGAATTTTGACATGGCAATGCATTCAGAGGGCTGCAGTAGAATCCTTGAGATGAGACCAAAAGAGAAAAAGATTATATACTATTTGGCCCTTCCTCCTTCAGCCACTCCACCTCAGCTGCACTTCTAAGCCCCAACCCATGCATTACTTTATCTGCATATCTATCTCTGTATGCCAGTACCTCTGTCTATATACCTACAGATGTAGGTATATAGATGTAGCAAATCTCACATTTAAGCAAAAGCTAAAGAATACTTGGAAGTAGATGCTCATGACCTTTCCCCAGTCATACTTAGAGTTTGTTTTTAACCTAAAGTTATGGAGACAGACTTGAAGGGAGACATCCCCAACCTTGCTAAAATGTAAGTACAAAAAGGCACAAATTGGATGGATATTGATGATGTTGTTTCTATTGTGACATCATCCATAGACTCCTAGTGTCTTTGCTTTGCTTCCCTATAGTGATCACAACATAAATTACTTGTCTTGTTTGACTTCCTTGTTCACCAAAGTTGAGCAGATTGTGGCCGTTTTCAACGCTTCTACCAGACAAAAAGCTTGGGACCATTTCTCGAAAGCCCAGCGCAAGAACATAGACATTTGGCGAAAGCATTCTGAGGTTGGTGATTTTATTATTACTTTTAACCACCATCACACAGCTGGATTGGCAGAGAACAGTGTGGCTGCGGCCATTGTGGTTTTTGTTGCAGTGGGCAGTCCTCCTTCCATTGTCCTTTCTCATTTTCAGCTCCAAATTCAGCTCAGACTTGTTCCTTGTCCAGAAAAGCAGCTGACATAACACTTAGCGAATAGAGTGTTTTTCTCCCCTGCAAAGGGAAAAAAGAATCTTTCCCATTCACAGGAAAGAGCTCAGAAATAAACCAAGACACTTTGCTGAATAAATTATTTTGAAGAAAAGTGTGACTCAAAATAGAAAACTAGCTTTAAAATACTTATTTTTTTCTCAGTGTTCTACATGATAATGATGGTTGCCCTTTGGGCTAGAAATGGCAAGTATGCCTTTCCATCCCATAAGCAATGCCTCAGTCCTCTGTGCTAGCCAGTAGGTTTTATCACACCTCTCCCCAGAGAAAATGTCACAAGAGAAATCCAAGCTAGCCGAGTTCACCCTTCAGCATCATTGCATGTGTGAAGTGTGAGTATCTATCCCCTAAGTGTGGTCCACACTTGACCTTTCTGGGCACGTAGAATGACCAAAATGGGTCATTAGTCACTGGTCATCCAGCTGTTATTTTTAACTCCACAGTGTAGTGTACGCTTTGAACCTGTCATTTAAAAGTAAGTATACTGTCTTTGTTTGCTTCTTTTTTTCTTTTACAAGAAAATGGCTTTTTTTCTTTCATTTGGATGCCTCTCCATCTCTAGCATGTTAATATTAAAGTTCTCTAAATGATATTCCCCTCTTTCAAAATCCCAAACTTATGGAAGGTAAGGTTTATTTATTTAATGACTTTGGATCACACTTGTAAAATAAGTGTTTTATACAGAGTTTGAGGAACCACAAAGTACTGTGATATCAATCATTGGGGTAGCATTTTAAGTGCCCATTAACTAATGCTAAATTACAGTTGAATACCAATAGCACTAGATGTAACATCTACATGAATACCAAATGAATTCTTTATTATCACTATTATTATGGTGAATACTGAATGACTTCACAGTAATGTGACACTTAAAATGCTAGTGCAATTTATTGTTAAGAAGGACATTTTTTTATTTTGTTGACTAATGCCTAAGGTGGTTGGTGAATGATACAGTTCTGATTTTCTGTTCAAGATGATGTGTAAAGAGGAGGTTGAGGTCTCTCTTTAATTTTTCAGGGGCCAGAAAAGAAGAGTGCTTACCCAGTGTTCTCCTTGACACTGAATTGAGACCCAGATCATGTTAATTTTCAGGAGAAGAAAAGAGTCCTTCCTTTATGATGTAACATATAAATTGAGGGTTATGAGAACACAAATTGGAATCCATGAACTATTTGGGAATGATCAGTCTCTTGATTGCTTATTTGTTTTTTCTTCACATAAAAACCAAATATGATTAAAAGGAATGTGAAGAGAAAGGCAGGTGGCATGATGCTGAATAAACCCTGGGCATAAAAAGGCCATCATTAGAAAGTGAGTGTCAGCAGATACCAGGTAGTGATCTAAATCACGCTTCCTGTCACATCTGCCTCAACTTCCTGCCCTCCCTCAGCCCTGCAACCTGTGCCAGGTGCAGTCCCTGGGAAGGCTCCAAGCACGGCCTGAGGAAGCCTGCTGGCCCTGCTCAGTGCTGGGGGGTAGAATTAGAGGCTCCGGAAGGTCAAAGGAGTGCAGTTGTGCAAGGGCTCCTGGGAAGGGTCTTTGTGCCTTCCTACCACTTCCCCACCTCTTCTGATATACATTAGTGAACAGAAGTCTAAATTACCTTTGATTTTCTCCCCTACATGTCACTTAATTGATTAAATACCAGTTGGTAATTTAACATTGTGGATGATTTCTCAGTTGCATATAAGCTTGATAATTGGCTTGATTTTTTTCCCCCACATACCCATGTACAGCATCTGTTAATTATCTGCAACACCTCTACAGATTTATTAGAGTGTACTAGTGATTTGCTGCTAAACCAGGGGCACCCTGTGGAAACACCCTCAGCTTTTTTTTCCCCCCTCAACTTTTTTTCCCTTTTCATCACCCTTCCGCACAAGAATTACCATATGATAACTTGTCATTAATTGTAAGGACTAAACAACAGGCACTTTCAGCATCATTTATTCTTTTCTTCTGATTTTTTACTTGTTTCAATTATTTTTAAGCCACCTCTTTAGGAATTGGGTTTTTTGTCAGTAGAAAAATTAGCTGTCCTCAACCTAAAATTTTCCCTACTAATCACATATGACACCCACCTCCAATACCTGATGGTGTTATTTAAGGTGGAATTAGACCTCTTCCTTCTAGGTGGCAGGACCAAGTAAGGAGGTGTCATCTGTCATACAGGTAGCTTGTCAATGGTGCCTGTGATTGGTTCCCCTGTCTGCCACCCTAGGCCCTACCCCTCTGCCTTCTGCTTTCCTTGTCCTCTGCAATGGGGATTCCCAGAATGCAGAGTTAACCATTAAAGTCCTCCTCCAATAAATAATTTCCCTTCCATCATGCTGCAGTTAAAATCTGTGAGCTAAAGGAGAGATGAAAATCAAGAAAACCCATAATACGGAGTGATAATATGCATATCCATCAAATGGGCACTGGAACTATGTTTAAAGTCATCCCATTGATAAATTTGGAATAGTAATTTAGTTTTATTGTTGCTCATAAGTGTATTGATTACAAAATGAAATTATTTTAAATATTTGATCATTTTAGAGACTTTAGAAAGGGGGGGGAAAGAATAGCAGAAGTTTGGCCCTGTTTTAATCTTTTCAAAGGAGGAGAACAGAGTGAATAAGGATTCACAAATATACAACATACAGCACAATATAAAATAATTGAATGTAAATGATTATAAAGTGCTTTAGGCACAATAAATAATAAAAACTTTATTGTATAATTCTTTACTTTCTACAATGAGTTTTCACATACACCATTGCATTTAAACCTTGTATTATTATAACTCCTCATTTATGGGCAAATAGACAAAGGCTCAAAGAACTTGACTGAAGTCACCACCTTTGTAAGTGGAGAAAATAGGATACTATTCTAAGATCTATGGCTCTAAAGCAGTGGTTCTCAACCTTCCTAATGCTCTGAGCCTTTAATACAGTTCCTATGGGTTGCAAACCACAGTTGAGAACTGCTGCTCTAAAGTGATGCTAAAGCAACTATTACAGCAAAAACAGTATCCCTTACAAAATAAAGTGAGATACAAAAAGGGAGGGCATTTGCTTTTCTTTTGTTCTCTAACATCTTTGTAATTAAATACTGCGTACCTGAATGGCCTGTGTGTGTGTGTGTGTGTGTGTGTGTGTGTGTGTATTTGGGATCACACACAGGCACATACACACATACAGAGGCACTATGTTTACATGAAAAATAATAGTGATCAGTGTTACCAATTTAGCAAACCAAAGGTCTTGTATGATGATAACTATAGTGCATGCCTTAACTCATTTCATCCTCAAAACTATTATCACAATATTCCAGTGAGCAAATTGAGACTAAGAGAGCTGAAGAAACATTCCAAAATTACACAGTGGGTCAGTGGTACTTCAGGCCTTTTTAAAACTCCATTGTTCACATTCTTGATCATAAGGTATAAGCCCCTGATATGTGCCAGTCATGTAACAGGTATTTCTAAGTAATGTTGCAACAGCCCTGCTAGGTGGATATTATTATCCTCTATATATTTTTTTTACAAATGAGGAAATTGAGACTTAAGAGAGATTGCTAATTTGCTGAAGAGCCCTTGACTCATCATGGGTGAGCAGGGATGTATCACAGGTCTGACCTGGGTCTCTCCCCACACCCCTCAGAACTTCATTTAGATTGGGTGGGGCTATACCTGGGAGGGAAAATCTTTGGATTCTAAATGTTGATACTCCAGTCATTATATACCCCAAGCCCATAGAGAAAAGGCAGGTGTGTGTAACTCTGACATTGTGTACCCTGTACTTTCAGGAGCTCCGCAACGCTCAAAGTGAGCAGCTCATGGGCATCCGACGAGAAGAAGAAATGGAAATGTCTGATGATGAGAACTGTGACAGCCCCACTAAGAAGATGAGAGTTGATGAATCAGGTAATGCCGATAATGGCCACAGGCCCATAGGTATAATGATCTTCCAGATCTCACATGGGGAATAAGTATTGGGAAATGGCCATATAACTCACTTTTATTTGAGTTAGACTAAACTTCATCTTTGAATGACTCAGCTTTTCATTAATAGTACTTTAAACTCCTTCTTAGGAACATAGTGATTTAAATTCCTCTACTTGTTTCTCCGCACGTAAATCTAGGACTGTAATAGGTTGTTGTTGTTGTTTTTTTCAGGGATATTTGCTTATTTTCATAAAAATCCTTTTCTAGAGTATGGCAGCCACAGCTGATACTAAATTCTTTATAGCAGCACAATTCACAATCTCAAAGATGCAGAAACAACCCAAGTGCCCATCAATACACGAATGGATCAATAAAATGTGGTGTACGCAAAGTATGGAGTACTGCTCAGCCCTGATGGGAAATGGCGATCTAGTATCTTTGTGACAGCCTGAATGGAACTGGAGACCAGTCTTCTAAAAGAAACATAATAGGAATAGGGACCCAAATGCATGTATTCAGTACCAGGCTGGTTCCTATAAGAGACATAAATCTCAAAGAATATCAAACTGGGAGAAAGGGAAAGAATCAGTGAGCAAATTCACACCTACTGCGTATGGAGCACCCTGTCTGGGTGGGGAGCATCCTTATAAACTTGACTCAGTTTGTGAAAAAGGCTAAGTATGTTGAAAGAAAAAAAGCTGATATGTAAACAAAACTTTAGGCATCCCCTAATATTCTGAAATTTTTAAAAATATATTTAATAAGCACCTAAAAAAATTGGTTTCAGTCAGTGTATTTCTTGCATGGGAATTGTCTAATCCCTAAAAATACTTTCTAGTTTCTGAGCCAACATGCTAGAGAATTAGACTTCTTTTGCAATAAATTTTAGTTCACCAAACCTATAATCAAAACAGTGGTCCCATTTAGTACCAAGCCAATGGCATCACTTCTTGACTGTAAGTAGGAGAGCAGTTAGGGAGAACCTTGTTTGTGTGCTTTGTCTAATGTGACATGCTGATTTAAAGCTCTCTCCTTGAATTATATGTAAATCCACTGGTATTGGGAAAGCAGGCTGGGAAAGTGCTCATTCAAAACATGAGACGCCAGTAGAGACTGCCTGTCTGAGTGGAAGGGTGTTGTCTAAAGGACTTGGCAAGAACCACAGTTGCCGCCACTGCCAGGAAAGAAAATGAGGGAGATGATATATTTATCTGTCTTCTCCTGCCTATCAGAGAATAAAACACATACCTGACCTTGGCTTTTTAACAGAAAGGTTACAGGTGACCAGGAAGGGAGGATCTTTGCTAATTTGTTAGTAGGAGCCAAAATCAAGATTCAAAAAGGATCAAGTCATCAAGATGGCGAAGTGGTCAGGATATCCTGCTTCTGTGAAGAATGCCAGAAGTGAACATGGTGATCCCAAGAAAAAGCTCCTGCATCCAGTTATCTCCAGAGGCAGCTTTAATTTCCTTAAAAAAGTGGTTCTAAAAATATGTAACATTAGCATCATCTAGGAACTTACTAGAAATTAATTAACTTACTGCAAATTATCAGGCCCCACTCAAGACCTACTGAATCCAACTTCTGGAGTATAGGGTGAAGGAGTGAGGTCCAACATGGGCTATGATTTAAGCCCTCTGGGAAATTCTGATTCATGCTAAAGTTTGATAACCACTGTCTATAAAATTTCTTTTTCATCCTCAAATTTCATTCACTTAAATCTTTTAGAAGCTTAGCACAAGTAGGCACCATCCTTCCAAAAATACAGCTAGCGTTCATGTGTCGATGCATGTGCGTCTCCCATGAAGCTCCTATCAGGGCTGCTTTACTTTATCAGGTTTGGGTTTGCTTATTGGAGAAGACCACCTTCCTCACTACATTTCTACATGTATTCTATAAACCACCGTATATCAAAAGAATGGAGCATGTATTAGTGTGATTTTTCTTAAATTCAATGAAATCTTGAGATAAAGAAATAAAACATTTTTCTCCAAAAAGCTTTCATCACTTTTGAAGTTCCTAGATGAGGTGCAAGTTGACATGAAACTTGGATTCTTAACATCCTTATAAGGTAGGTGTAGAAGAAAAGAATTGAGTCAAGTCAGAAATCCTGATTTGAACCTGTGGCTTTTGGGGGGGTGACATGTCTTTTTAAACAGCCTGTCAATTTCCCAAGAAAAGTGTTTAATTTCACAGTCTGCTTAGGGTAGGACCAGAATAACAATGACTGAATGATACGCTCACCAAGCAGGTCTCTCTCGCAGACTGGGGCAGCAAGGGCGGCAAGCATAACTGTGCAGGGTTGGCGCCTGACCCTCACCCCTCTGTGGGGACCAAGGTTTTCTCTGGAGATTTGACTAGAAAGCCCTGTTTCCGGGCCTCTTATAGTTTGTTGCCTAGACATTTGATGAGAGCTTGAAGTAGAACCTAAACTTTTAAATACTTTTGCCAGGTTTTAACTTGGCCTGCGGAATTAATGAGCACAATGCAGTGTGTGTTGTACCCCAGGTTCTAAGGGACGAGATGAGAGAAGTGAAGTTCACATGCCAAGCCTGAGGAGTTCAAAGTCTTTCTCTGTACTTTTCAAAAGAAGATAGACCGGAGAACATGGCATGTGGTTTCTGAAGAAAGCACAGGACTGATTACAGGGAAAGGAAAGCAACTAGCCTGTTTTGTTCCATTGCGCCCTGAAGCTCCTGCCAAAGGGCAGGCGGTGGTTTTCCTTTCAGCGCTGTGTATTTGGGGACATTGCCTGACAGCAACAATTCCCATCTGGTCTTCTGACCAAACCGCAGACAAATCTCTGCTAACTCCCGCTTGAAGCAAGGGAGGCTGGTGGCTCATTGCCTGAGGGAAACACCTTTCAGCTTATCTCCTTATGTAACACATCTCTCATTTTTAGGTACAAATTTGCATCTACCAGTCACCTTCATTGGAGAAATCCTTTCAAAATGTAGGGCTCTAATTCACTGATGGGAATTGACAATGCTGAAGTATGTTTAAAATAGTTAACTGTTTTAAATTGCGTACAAATTTTATGAACACCCTGTATGAATAGAATTGAAATGCCCTTTAAGGAATCTCCTGTCTGTTTTTTCTCTGCTAAAACATTTGGGATTTTGCCACATACCAACTGCGTGGTAACTGACCCAATAATTCTTGGAAATTCCAGGGGGAGTATCCTTCAAGTAGCCAGCTGCCTGTGACAAGGGAACATGATCTCACAGTGCTGGCTTGGCTTGTCATCTCTCTACTAGGACAAAAACTGCCCTGAATAGGTTTAATTTCTTGGGGTAGATAGAACTAACTGTCTTTGCTTTCTAGAAAAGGCACAACTTGCTATGTAAAGACTTGTATGATACCTTGGGCTTACTTTTAAAAAATAGTTTATATAGCTCTGCTTTTTTGATTATAAAGAATATTTCATTGTATTTTTGCTTTTTACCACATGCAGTAATTTACAATTTCTCTTTGGCTAAAGTTCTTCAGTATCCCTGAAACTATAACATAATTCTCAGTGAACTGTTAACTCTTCCTCATCAGGTGAATCTTAAAGGGAAAATGAAGTTTGCTGGAGCAAAACTAAAATGCCAATAAAAATGGAAATGAATTATGTTAATAAACTTGAAAATCATGACAGATTTATTAAAGCATTCATTTGAGAAGGTTAGCATCTTGTTCCAAAGCCTGTGAAGATAATTTTTGATAAGAATTCACATTTATTGTTGCTTAGTCTGCCTCCTACTGGAATCAAGCCAGACTTTTAAATTCAGATCTAGTCTTCCCTCTCTCCCTCTCCTGCCCTCCATCCCTTCTCCCCTTTCCTTTCCTTCTGCTTTTTTCTCTGTCCCTACTTCTGTCTCTCCCTCTTTCCCTCTCTTCTTCCCTCCTTCTCTTTCTCCCTCCCTCTCTCTCTCCCGCTTTCCCTCCTGCCCCCCCACCCTCACTCTCCCTCTTTCCCTCTCCTCTCCCGTTCCCCTCTTCCCTTTTTCTCTCTCTCCCTCCCTCTCTTTCTCTCTCTCTCTCCCCCTCCCTCCTTTTCTCTCCCTCCCTCTTTCCCTCCCTCCCTCCTGCCCACCCTCACTCTCCCTCCTTCCCTCTCCTCTCCCCTATCCCCTCCTCCTCCCTTTTTCTCCCTCCCCCTCTCTCCTTCTCTCTCCCTCTTCCCTCTCTCCCTCCAGGTTGACTGTGAGGTAGGGCAAGTATTCATAAGGAGTAAATAGAAGAAAGGAAAGAGGAAGTCTATCATAGATTATAAGGCCTCAGATGGTAAAACCTAATTCATTTTAGTATTGTGAGAGTTAAACAAGTCAGTGCATAGAAGGCCTTTCTGACTTGTCTTATGGTTTTAATGGTAACTCTGCTGATTACCATAGTCACTCCCTAGTACCTGACCCTTGGCTTTTCTTCAGCAAGTCTTCAAGAAAAGTTTGTTGAACTTCAACTGAACGTTCCTCTTCTTCAGGTCTCAATGTTTCCATGCCTCTGTCCCATAAGTTATTAGGAACAGTAACCCTTAGAAAATTTGCTCTAATGAAATCTAAATGGTGAATGTTAAGAAGCTTGTTCAAACAGGATGATACATTTCTCCCTAATGTTCAGAACTTTATACATACGAAATTCAGTGCCACATGCTGAGTAGGCCATGGCCCAGAGAATTGTACCCCAGTGTCATTCTAATTATTACAAATATTTGTGGAGCACTTTCTAAGGGCAGGGTACTATTGACTCAGGGAACATAGAAAGGGTTATTTATAGGGCAACCCTTTCCTGGAGGGTGTGAGACTCTTTTTGAAGAGAATAAACATGTTAAGTTAATAAAAGTCTAACACCTAATGTCAAGTATGTCCTGAAGCCAGTAAATTAAATTTAGTGTAAACCAAAATGAGCACCACTTCTTAGTGTATAAACCTTGTACAATATTTAATGCGTGTACATTGAACTCAAATTTTAGAAGAGTAAAACTAGAAAGTCCCTTG